ATAGTAGTGTCACCAGAGGCTTCTCCCCACATCTTGATGGCATAGGCGGCCATCATGTCCTCCGAACTTGATTCTTGGTTCTTTTGAATCATTAGTCATGGCATTCCAAACCCAGACGGGGCGCTCACCTTTCCATCATACGAGGCATACAGACCGTGTGCCCAGCTATGCCCGTGGTACCAGTCCATAGAGCGCCAAAGTGGGAAGTACGTGTCTTTGGTGCTAGGGTTGGCAAAATCGCGCACCAAGGCATTGACGTAAGCCTTGTTGGCTTGCATCCATGTAGGATCCAGGTGCGCGATTGCAGCGGCTGCCAGGATGTGGTAGCCATAATGGAAGTGGTGGTCGTTGTAATATGTATTGCCGAAGTCGGCGCCATCATTGCCTGTTACATATGTTGCTGAGGATACAACACCTCCCCACGCGCCTGTAGAGCTGTTAGCAAAAAGCGGAATAGTATGGCAAATCAAAACCTACTTTCGTACAAAAGAGGAAACTTCTGCTTGTTGTCCGCAAATCTGGCAAACGCTTCCTTCAGCCGGGGCAGGGCTGACTGGGCCAACCCCGTATCTTTCACAACGTCGTTTATGGCCACGATCAAAATAGCAAACTTGGCCAGTGCCTTTCCACTGAAATACATCGAGTCCAGATCTGACTGCGCACTCATATCCTGAGACACCTCCTGGGTTGCTATCCCGCGGATTACGGTTTTCGCTTGTTCAGAGATGGTGGTGAGAGGACCTTTCTCGGGACTCCATGGAGCAAAGCCCATGCTGACGGGCAGGTTCGGCTCAACCATGGTCCATTGATCAGCCAGCACCAGTGTTCCATTGCCCTTGGTAGGGGTCTGAAGCAGGACTTGCTGAACCGCGGCCTTGGTCGTGGCGTCGAACGATGCGACGTGATGCGGCAGTGCGTACATGGCCAGCTTTCCATCCTGGTGTCCTTCCTTGGAAAACTTGAGGCTGTACGTGCCCGTGTTACCGTTCACGGAGCCAGACAAGGTGACCGTCGTAGGATAGACACCAGCTGCCAGATCAAACACCGCCTCGCCATTTCCAGGATCCTTGGCAAGCTGGATGGATCCGTAGAAGGGCTTCGTTGATTGGGCCATTCCGTTGTTGACAACCTGTAGGTCCAATTGGTCTCCTGTGGTCGCGTATGCATACAGCCGCCAGATCTTTCCGTCTTCGAGTTGGAACGTGTACTTGGCGACGCCGGCCTTTGGGTCTTGGGTTGCCCGTGTAACAGTCCGGAAGAACACTCCGGTGCGGATCACAGGAGTAGCTCCAGAGTAGTTTGCCGTTACAAACGGCATCCCTTGAACCAAAGGAAACGAAATCGCAGGCACAGCTCCTGAATTCGGCTTCAGGTGGACTCTGGCGGAAAATGCAGTGACGCTGTCCATACCCACGGCTGTATCCGCCTCAAGTTCTTGGGCACTGATGACCATGGATTGAATGCCTACTGGGTTGATAAAATAGGACGCCGCCCCGGAGTCCTTGTTCGGGCCAAAGACCCGCTGATTCGCATCGATATGAGAAATAGTCATGCCGTAGCTCGCGGCGGCTCCTTTCCCTGCACCCCATGCTATGGCGTACGGGTAGGTGTAAGTTGGTGCCGTTTGATCACCCAAGAAGAAATTGGCGTAGAACTTGTTGGTCTGGAGCGGCCCGCCTGATGTAATGCCCTTCCGTGGAACAGGGTGGTCGCTTCGAGTCGTAATAGATGACGGCGGCGCATCCGTGCCAATAGGCTCTGCGAAAAGATCTCCTGATGCCATTGGTGCAGACGGTAGCGGCGCTACGACAGTTCCTCCTGAAGTTGGTTCAATCAAGGTCGACGGAGTCGGAATCGGATCCGACATCAAAGGGCAAGTAGTGACCTTGCCTGCGGTATCGAGATTACTGTGGACGTCTCCGGTAGTCTGAGGAGTTTGACCAGTGAGGGATGGCAATACAACGACGTTTCCTCCAGATTGTGCGCTGGTGACGAATGGGGCGGAATTGGCGCCTGAAGCGGATCCCTGCGTTGGCTGGCTTCCTCTGGGAACCTGGACGGTAACGGTGTAATTGGTCGTTTCGGTAAGGCAAGTCAGATCGCGGCTATCGAGTAGCAAAGGACGGATGCTGAGTTCTCCAACAGCTCTCGGCTCTCGGTCTGCAAGATGAAGTCGTACGTGTTGTTGGTGGAATAGGGCGAGGGCGCTCTCGCAGAGGAAAACCTGTATAAGAGTCAGCCTAATGATCCCCATCTTGTATTTGAGGCCCGCCATTGCGGGATAGCAGTGATCTTATCGTGTTTGTGTATGTGGTTTTCTTGATATCAGGCCGGTTATGGCAGCTTGAATTTGCGAATGTCGCGGTAAAGGGGCAAGAGATCATCAGCAGCCGCCCACGCTTGTGTGCGAGTGTTCCGGTTCAAATATCCGGCCCACGAGGAGAGCCATTGGGTCAACAATGAGAGCCATCGACGAAACGGCAGCATCATACCAGCGCACTGAAGATCGAAGCCCAGAACTCGGCGGGGCAGCATCGTTACCGCGCAACAGTGGTGTGGGCGGGGGGCGATAGGAATGCGAGAGTCTCAGAAACAATGGGCAAGTCTCACCTGGTAGGAATGCTAAATAGTTTGCCCGGAAACTCGATGTCGGATTGCAAAGAGGCGAGCTGTGTGATAAGAAGAGAGTCCGTTTTTAGGATATGAGGGATCGTGATCGGACGAGACAGGCAGGCGTTGGCGATGATCGTGTCTTGATGATGCTGGATTCCGTATCCAAATACGGTGGCCGGGAGACGTTGTAGGGCTGGGCGAAACAGCCTTTGTCAGAATCGAGATGGTAGGGGAGACCGACCTTCAGAAGATTTTAAAAACTCAACTGCGAGGAGGGAGATGTTGTTGCTAGTTATGTCGTTGCTTCATGCCCGTGCAACATCATCAGATATTCTGAAGGAAGGAAGTTTCGGCACACGACTAATGCTGCGAGACCGACCCTCTTTGGCTGACGCATGCCTGCCCTTGGCGTGGGTACCCTCCGGCATCGAACCTGCCGGTTCATTGGCAAGAAGAAGAAACATTCAATTGTGGTGATAGATGACAATTCACGGAGCAACCGGTCACTTGGCCACGATCGCGATGGCATGCAACTTGGATCAAGGCTCGTTAGCAGACTACATTGCTTCTTTAAGAAGTCAGGTCGAGCGGGGTCGCATCGGGCCGTTCTGAGGCCATGACGCAAGCACACGATCGCCAACACATGTAGGATGGGAAACGGGTAGCATTTACAGCTCCTTCATCCTCCTTGAGCAGGTTGAAGTTGAGAAGTTGACGGTTTATGTGGATGTTGTTTTGAGATTGAGGTGTAGTAAGCCCGGTGTGACCAGGTCCCAAGCTCCAGATCAGCACCTTGGCCGGGCTTGGCGATCATAAGACTGGCGTCCCTCATGACCAACTGAGGTCTGATCCAATCCAAGACAAGGAATGACTGATTCCAGGGGCAGCAAAAGTGATTTGACCTGAGAAAAACTGAATCGTACAAGCAGTACTGATTGGTTGATCATAATCCGTACCATGGACCCAAATACATTTCCCGGGTATCAAAAGCAAAGCCAATAACTCCATAGCGCCGTTTCCCACATCAAAGACCGAGGGCATTGTACTTGCCCCTCATGTTCTCGTCCAGAACATGTCGTAGTAGTGTAGAAGATGCTCCAGCGCCTCGCTCTTGTGCCTTCTGGCTCTTCCTCATCTTGTGATACCGATATCGATTCGCGACTTCTGCTTCGGCGGCAGCCTTGCGTCGCTTCTCTTCCTCTTCGGCAGCCCGCTTCTTCTCCTCTCGCCTCTTCTCCCTCTTTTTCCTTCTTCTCTCATCATCATCATCGCCGTCCTCCTGTTGCCTCTTACACCTTCGTATTTGCTTGTCTGTGAGCAGCCATGGCTCTAGGAGGACCTCATCCCGAAACCGCGTGCGCCGCTCCCACAGCGCTACTTCCTGCTCCGTAGACCTTAGCACCTTGACCTTGTCAATCTTGATCTGCATCTCCTCGCGAAACGTGGTCAGGCCGCCCTTGATGTCAAGCACCGAGCCCACGTCGACGTCCACACAGTCAGCCGGAGGCAGCGGCTGAGGCCTCAGGCCGAATTGTCCATTAGGCTGGTTCTGAGGGGCGGCGGAAGGCGTCCTCAGCACGACAGTGCATTCGATGCAGGCGCCGCTGCTGTCATCGACCGTGTATATGCGCCGGCCCGGGTAGTCGTCAACTGCGACAACGATGCCAACAACGCGGACCCATTTGATCGGGAGATTCCTGTAGAAGTAGAAGTCCTGGGCTGAACAGTGTGTCAGCTTGGAGGTTTGTGCAAGGCTGCTGCAATGCGCGGCAAACGTACCTTCATAATCTGGGACCGATACCAGGCGATGGATGTCGGATACGTGCATCAAGCACCATGTGTTATGAGTGGGAGACAGCTCGAAACAGTAGCGGGGGTAGAGGCCCGGAGACGAGTCGCCCGTCATGGCATGATTAGTGGAAGTCAAATCGCTCCAGCCTGGAGATGTTCGACCATTATTCTGTTACGATATCGCGGTGAGTCGAGGGCGGTCGATCGGAACGGAGAGGACGCGTCGCGTTGAGAAATGTGTCTGTCACCGGCGAGTTTATTTTACTGAGGGAAGCCAAACTTGAGGTGGTTGACCTGGGGATGTCTTGCAGGGTCGTTAGTGCCCCGCATTGTGGCAGGTACAGTGCAGCGTGCAGCGTGCGGCAGTGCCTCCGCTACGCCGCGCCTCACAGGGGAGGACGGCGCAGCAGGCAATGAAACCCATTCGACTTTTCGCGGCTGCAAAATACCAAAGCAAAGATTGAGCTCAAAACGATCTTCTTTTCGTGATATCAAGTTTACCAACTCCTGAGGCCCATATGATGAATCCTGGCTAACCCATAACCTAATATCCAGTGTATCCCATCCCCCGTGACGCCAGACCAAACACACTCTGCCTATCGCCTCGACTTTCTGCCACCCTTTGCAGGCTTACTTTCATCAGCCTTGGGCTTCTTCAGACGTGCGGCTGCGGCCTGAAAAGCCTCCTCTGATGGCTCCTCCTCGACAGCTGCCCTCTTCTTACCCTTCTTGGGCTGGCTTGTCGCGCCGTACTTGGCAGCCAGGTCGTCCAAGAAGCCAGCACGCTTCGACTGGTTGCTCTTGATGAGCGCCGCAAGGTCATCTTCACCGCTGTCCTTGCCCTTCTTCTTGCCCTTCCCCTTCTTGTCGCCAAAGAGCTTGTCATGGACACCCAGCTCCTTGGCGTACTCCTCGGCTTCATCGGCCTCGCCCTTGGCCGCCTTGATGCGGGCTGCCTTGGACAGCTTGCTCTCCTTGGTGTACCTCTTGTACGCTGTCACATCCTCGGTTGCGATAGCTTCATCGATGATCTTGCGGAACCGCTCGTCGTCCTCGAGGACATTGCTCAGCATCACCGTCTCGTAGATCTTGTCCATGTCTCCCTTTGCTTGCTCGTAGGCAATCAAGACATCATCCTTCTCCTCATCCGAACCCTTGTATTTCTTGGCGAATTTCTCAATAGCATCGGCAGAGATCGCATCGCGGAATTGTTCGCGGTAGTAGTCGGACCAGTTGAAACCCTCCGAGTCGATGATGGACTCGGAGGTAGACCCAGTCGTATCATAGCGCTTGCGCCGGGCAGGATCTGAAAGGATGGCGTATGCGAAAGCGATGGACTGGAACTTCTCCTTTGCCTCATCTCTTTGGTCGTCGGGAACCTTGTCTACAGAAAACATTTCGTCAGAATGAGCTCCGAAGGGCCCCGATGAAGGTTAAGGTGTTCATACCGGGATGGTTCTTGAGCGCCGCCTTGCGATAGGCAGACTTGACTTGATCGGCCGTAGCTTCGCGGTCGAGTCCAAGAGTCTCGTACGGATCGATGACTGGAAGCTCGCTCTCGACGAGATCATCTGACGCAGGGGAAGACATTTTGGAAGAGTCGATGACAAGGACTTATTGGGTTGATTCAGGCCTGAAGGCGAAGCTTTGCGACGCGCTTGGAGCTGGTCCAGACGCGACAGCTAAAGTGGTGGGTCAAGCTTGTGCACGCGTGATTGGACCACTTGGTGAGCCGTGCACGACAAGCTAGCTGTCTGGCATGGTCGGCGACCGGCGAGTGCAACACCGACTGCTTCAAGACCTCTGGTGACCCCTCCCCCTCCATGCGACTGGATCACAGGTTACCTCATCTTTTTTGTATCGAAGAGCTCGCACTCAGTTGAGGCGCTATACTGCTGTTCGAGATCTTGACCTGACATCGCATCCCGCAGCACAGCAGTTTTGAGCGCTTCACCCTCGAGCACGTTTTCTGTGTAACATCTCGAATCATGACATCAGAGGTTGATGCCATTGAACCAGCGCCGATAGCGCCTGGCGATCACAAAGCTTACCTGCAGTATGCCCTCTCTCTGGCGAAGCAATCACCGCCAAAACCTACCAACTACCGCGTCGGGGCAGTCCTCGTCAACCCCGCAAGCAATGCCGTCGTCTCAACGGGATACACGTTGGAGCTACCCGGCAATACCCACGCTGAGCAGTGCTGCTTCATGAAGCTGGCGGAACAGCATGAGGTGGCGGAAGAGGAGCTTGGCTCGGTGATCAAGACACCCCTCGTCCTCTACACCACCATGGAGCCGTGTTCAGTGAGGTTAAGCGGGAACCTGCCTTGCGCCAAACGGATTCTTCAGCTGCGGTCCGTCATCAAGGCAGTGTACGTCGGTGTACAGGAGCCCGAGAAATTCGTCAAGGACAACACGGGACGGGCGGCTCTTGAGAGGGCAGGTATCGACTTTGTCCACATTAAGGGGCTGGAGGGCGACATTCTGAAGGTGGCGACGGCAGGACATGTGAAGACGCCAGCATAAGCCAGCTTCCTGACATTACGCCAGGTGGTGGTTGTTCGTTCTCACGATCGCGTAGTCAGAGACCAACACAGCACACTGGTGGCACTACATGCAACGGTCCGCTGCCAGTTGCTACCTGTGCAGATGACAGCGCGGGAACCAGCCATGGCGGCAAACGGGCAACGTCCAATTCCTGATCGACTGTTGTCATGTCATGCTGCCCGCCAGCAAGAAGTGGCTACCTCCAGGGTAATCGTCCTACTGTGCAGGAAAGGGCCAGAGAAGCGAAGTGGGAGAAGGAAAAGCAAGACCAAAGGAGCGGTGTGTCCGCAATGGGAAAAGAGCCAGCAAGGAAAAGCAAACGGAACGATTTCGTCACTGGCTTGGTCCAGCCCGCGTTGCAACGTGGTGTACGGCTGTTCTCAACACACAATGCCATGAATGCTGCTGGATTTTCATCATTCAAGACGGTTTCTCTGCAATTCGACAGCAATTTGCTCCAAGCATCATCGTGAGAAAACAAGGCCTGTTCTATTGCCTCCACGTGCAGACTGTTCGGTGCAGTGAGACAACAACCCTCAACTACAACTCCCGCGAGCACGAGGTACCTCCCTCGCTGCAGGGTGCACAAGTTGCGGCGGGTTTCCAGGGGCTTGGGCCCGATAAGGTGCCCGGAAAACCACCATCTGCCGCTGAAAACGACACTGGGGGCCCTGGGTGCGTTGCAACCCTCCCGCCTCATCTGCGCCAATTGGGAGCGTCCCTGAGCCAACAATAGGTGCATCAGGGCTGGGTTTGTGCACCCCCCCACGAGACGACATAAAAAGTTGCCATGGACACAATTGGCATCTGTCATTGGTAGATCTGCCCATGACGGAGCCCTGCCAGAACACATTGGTTTGCACAACCACTTATGGAGGGCCTTTTTCCCACTTCCCTCTGGCTTTACTTGTCAAGGTGCTGCCCAGTGGCTGCTGAGAGCAATGCCGTAGTAGCTAGCTACCTGCTGTTATTGGCGTGCATGTTAAGGTAGACAGACATGCGAAGTGCTGTGCCCATGAGCATGTTGGCGGTAGAGGTTACCTTTCTTTGCACCTGTTTGCTCCGGGGCGGATGACGATGAAGTTTCGCTCCTCATTCTCTCCCTTGTTCCCTCACTCCCACACACCAATTTCTCTTTCCTGGACAGATACCAATATCCTCAATACCCTATCCTGAACCAATTCCAATCTTCATCTCTGTGCTCGTCGGCGTCCCCTCTTGCTCTCTCATCCTTCCCATCCTTCCCTGCCCCCGTTGTTCAGTGTGTCTTTAACTTTATGCTCCATTCCATTTGACCTCGTTCCCCACCTCGACTGGACAAGGGTTCGCTGTCTGTGTACAAACATCGATCTCTGCCCGTACATCTCCTGTTCCAACGACATCCGATACTTTACCAAGTCTTACTGCCATCGGAGCCTTACCATCAAAGTAGCTCCCGGCTCTCTGCATCCACTTTGTCTGGCCGGCCTCCGGCATTCTCCACCTCGTTTGTCTGTTTGCCGTTTCTGGCCACCCGACATCAGTCTTCATCAGCCTGTTTGCCGTCTGTGCTGGCGTCTGGCGTTCACCACGTGCTGCTTGCTCCCTGCCCGTGAGCAAGTATTATCCCCAATATCAGTTCTTACTTGGGACACAGTTTTCTCTCTTCTCTCTTTCTATAACGCCTGAGAGAGTTCTTGTTAGCCAGCACACATTGCTAGTTCGGAGAGACACTCGCTTTTGTTGAAGCTTTTCACGTCGACATGGCGGATTCAGGGCGTGGGGGCCGCGGCCAGGGCCGAGGAGGTCGCGGCGGTGGTGATCGTGGTGGTCGCGGTGGTGGTCGTGGCGATCGTGGTGGTGGTGATCGTGGTGGACGTGGTGGTAGCTTCCGTGGAGATCGCGGTGGTGGTGGAGGTGGCTTCCGTGGAGATCGCGGCGGCGGCGGCGGCGGCTTTAGAGGAGACCGCGGCGGCCGTGGCGGCAGTTTCGGCGGCGGAGGCAGAGGCGGTGATCGTGGTGGACGTGGTGGTGGTAGAGGAGGTCGCGGCGGTTTCGCTCCTCGCCGTGATGCGTTCGAAGGCGAAGCTTGCACCTTCTACGGGTACGTCGGACGTCTTTCAGCTCTATCTCAGTGACTAACACCTCTCAGACAAGGCTCCACCATCCGCCAGCCTGATGCCGATATCACCAAGCTCGAGGACAAAATCATCCAGAGTCACCAGTCTAAGGACCAGGCCCTCATCAAGAAGATGAGTAGCATGAAGCTCGCCGATTCCAGCTCGGCCTCCCTGATGCCCCGCCGCCCTGCCTACGGTACCAAGGGCAAGCAGATCATCGTCTGGGCAAACTACTTCCGCCTGAGCGTCAACCCCATGGTGCTGTACCGGTACAACCTCGAAGTCCGCAAGGGCGAGAAAGAGGACGCTCCGCCCGAAGAACCGCAGGTCAAGGCCAAGGGCAAGGGCAAGCCTCCGGCTGGCTCTGGCGATGGCGCTCCTGCTGCCATTCCTGCTCGGAAGCTCAAAGTCATCCTGCAGTACGCTCTTGCAGAGCTCAAGAAGCTTGAGCCCGACGCCGTTTTCGCAACCGAGTTCAAGTCCCAGCTCGTCTGTCTCAACAAGTTGAGGCTCGTCAAGAACCCCATCATCGTCAAATTCAAGAACGAGAACTCCAGCCGTGAGGAGTTGTACAACGTCAAGGTCGTCGGCGAGACAGAGGCTCCGTTGGCTGCCATGGTCCAGTACCTCCAGACCATGGTCGATACGAGTGACCCAGACGAAGTGCACTTCCCCCGGTTCGCGACCTCCATGGATGCCCTTGGTGTCATTCTCGGCTACACCCCACGGCTGAACGACCAGGTCACTGCTATTGGCAAGGGCCGGTTCTTCCCGTGGGGTCTCGGTTCCGCCACGGCACAGCTCGGCTCTCAGGATCCCCTCACAGCCATCAGAGGTTTCTTCCAGAGTGTTCGTCTCGGCACCGGCCGCACCCTCTTGAACGTCAATGTCACCCACGGTGTGTTCAAGACCGATGTCCGGATCAGCGACCTTTGCAAGTGGTTTGGCGTTGATGTCTTCGGTACCGGCAATGTCCGCGCCCACAACGAAGCCAGAGGAACTCTGCGCACCTTGTCCAAGTTCCTCGCAAGGACTCGCGTGACCATCGAATTCCGCACCGGTGACGGGAAGAACGTTATCGCCAAGAAGGCGATCCAGGGTCTCGCGTGCAAGCACGACCTCTCCAGGCCCCCTATCGACAGCACCGTCTTCTTCACCAAAGACTTTGCCTACGGTGGCCCCTCGGAGGTCAAGTTCCAGCTGGAGCCTGAGGAGGGCCAGACTACGGTCATGGGCAATAAGCCGCCTGGTGCCTATTCAGTTGGGCAGTATTGGCAGTGGAAGTACAAACAAGCTCCCGACAACACCTTGCCGCTGGTCAACCTCGGCACGGCCGCCAAGCCCATGTTCTTCCCTGCCGAGCGGTGCACCATCGTTGCGGGTCAGGCTGTTCGTTCTAAGCTTACCGGTGACGAGACTACCATGATGCTCGACTTTGCTTGCCGCTCTCCTTTTGCCAACGCCATCTCCCTCGAGCGTGACAGCGCAGCGGCCTTGGGCTTTGACGAGCCGATCCTGCAGCAGTTTGGTCTGTCGGTTGACAAGAGGCTCTTATCTGTCATCGGTCGTGAGCTGATGCCTCCAATCGTCACCTACGGCAATGCCAAGACTCTCCAAGCTCGCAGTGGTTCTTGGAACATGAGTGGCGTCAAGTTTGCCAAGGCAGGCCCCCGGATCACTAACTGGAACTGGGTTCGCATCGTTGACACTGGAAACCCCAGGATCTCTACCGACGAGGTCGCAGAATCCGTTCGGCAATTCGTGGCATTCCTGAACACCAGTGGAGTCGCCATTGACACTCAGGCTCCAAACACCGCTCACCAGATCAATGTAGGTCGCGGCAATGCCACTGAGGACATCAGGAGAGCGTTCGCGGCTATCGACGCCCACACTAAGAAGGATAAGGGTACCACCAAGAACTTCTTCCTGCTTGTGATCCTGCCAA